TATGACATTTTAGATGAACTATAAGTCATATAGTAGTATTTTCCTTTTGAATTTTAAGCATGTTTACAAGGATAAGTAAATGAAAGACAGTATTTTTGTGATTAATATTATTACACACAATTGCGGAGCCACATATACTCACGGAGTGTCAACCTATGCGTCTTTATCGGAACATTTGCTGTTTAGCTATGTAATTTATTTTAATGTATATATACTATATACCGAGACATTTTGATTCTTTACTGGTTTACTTCTTTATATTTTGACTCTTCTTAATAATTTTTTTGACTCTAACGATATATATTTAAATGACAGATGATATGAATAAGAGAAGAGAAAATGCATAAAGACCCCATTCAACTTGTCCTGGAAAATCATTTACACACCTAAACTTTACGGGTGTCCTAACACTCCACTATTGTTTAAAGAATTGTATTTATTTACTCCCTCCTAAGACCTAGCCCTACTATAATAACTTGAGTGGGAAACACACGCTTTTATTATGAAGCCACGTAATTAAATTGTTCAGTAAATAAACATAACAACCTTAAAAAACTCTCATTCACCCCGTTAACCCCGTTAGTAAAAAATTCCCAAATTGAAGAACCCTAATGCCCCACCTTCAAAGATTCAATTTGTCTCACCAAAATCGATTTGCCTGACCAAAATCGAAGGGACATGTTGCAAAATCCTTCGATTTTGTTGTTCCTTAGGGTTCCGTTTGTTCTCAAATGTTTCATTTGACGAGATGGTGGAAGACCCGTTCGAAGTTGAAGGTCTTTGAAGAATCAAGTTCAAACGTTATCTTTGTTTTAGTTTGGAGGTAAATACATCAACCCTGGCCTTTTCTATCATCAACCCTAAATGTTATCTCTATTTTAGTTTGTTTAATATCATGCGTATCTAGGGTTTTGAACTTGCTTCAAATTTCTTCACTGAAACGTTTTCGATGTAAAGTCGAGTAACAGAAATACAATTTTTAAGGTGTAATAATAACCAATTTTCAAATTTTTCTTGTTGCATGTATTGTGACTTCTTATGTCGGGGTCTAATAGTAACTATTAATCCTTAATTAGTTTATTTTCTACTATATTCAGGTATTTTAATGTCTTTTGTACTTGTTACACTGAGGTTTTTCCATGGTGGAAAAATCTCCATGGATAAGTTACATTCCTTTTCAGTGGAGGATTGTGTTGGTGGGATGATTACTGATTGTGTTGATGTCGATGTTGATATGTTCTCATATTTTGAGTTTTTAGGTTATGTGAAAGAGTTTGGGTACAATAGTTCTTCTGTTGTTATTTATGTTAGACCACCTAATTGTCCTGGTTGTGGTAGTAATTAAGGTTGACAGGGACCTTATGGATATTTGTGAAAAGTTAAAAAGTGGGGATATTTTGGAGGTATATGTAGATCACATGGTTGATGATGCTGTAGTGGTCCCCCCCTCTATTAGAATATGTCAACCAAGTGAGGGTGATAGTAATGTTACTTTTGAGAAGGAATCTGGTCAAGATTTGGGGGGCTGTGAGGGTTTCGGAACTTCTAAAAAGGCATCCAATACTGCTGAAAATAATGCCAATAACAGTGTGCCTACAACTGTTACTACTGATGATAGTTCAGACTCCTCATCTGAATCTAGTAGCAGCACTGATAATAGCTCAGATTCAGAGCATGCGGAGTTGTTTGAAGAAGGAGAAGCTGATTATGGCAGTGATACACATGAGGAATACAGGACATTTAGGGCAAAAAGAAGGACTGTAGAGAGGAGGAAGAGGAAAGAAAGTGCTCCTGAAAAAGAACATGCTAAACTAGGTAAGAGAGGGCTAGGTGTGGGGTATGATGAATATGAATCTAGGAAGAAGAAGAGTTTAGAAAGTAAGATAGGTGGTGATGAGCCTTATTACCACTCAGATGAAGCTGCTAGTTTTGAGACAGATCCAGATGATGCTGATGATGAAGGTGAAGGGGAGGTTCAACAGAAAGTTAAAGCTAGAAGAAGAAAGACTAAAAGAAGAGTAATCTTTGACAAGACTTTCAAGAAAATAGTTTGGGAAACTGGACTTGCATTTGCAAGTGTGAGAGATTTCAGAGAAGCTGTAACTAAATATGCTGTTCAACAAAAGGTATCTATAGAAAAGTATGTCAATGAACCTACAAGGGTGAGGGTTAAGTGCAAGAAGGCATCCCGTCCTTGACTTCTAGTTGCTAGTTATGATTCTAGGACTAAGGATTTTGTAGTCAAGAACTACAATCCAGTTCACAAATATGACCCTACTAACAGAAACAAGCTATGTAATTCAAAGTTCTTGGCCAAAAAGTTCAATGAAAGGATAAAAGAACAACCTAACATTAGAATAATCAAGTTTCAGGAGTTGATTAGAAAGAAATTGGGATTATATGTTGGGAGAACAGTTTGTAGGAGGGCAAAAAATATTGTATTGAATGAGATAATGAGCGATCATAAACTGGAGTATGGAAGGATATTAGATTATAGGGATGAGTTGCTTAGATCTAATCCAGGAGTACATGTGTAGTGAAGCTTAGTGAAGGAACTTTTGAAGGTGGGAAGAAAATATTTGTTGGGTTCTACATTTGTTTTGATGCAATGAAGAAGTCATACTTAGTTGGTTGTAGGTCATGTATTGGATTGGATGGATATATTTTAAAAGGGGGTATGTAGAGGCCAACTACTTGTAGCAGTTTGCAAAGATGGAAATAATCAGATGCTTCCACTTGCTTGGGCTGTTGTTGAGATTGAAAATATACACACTTGGAGGTGGTTTGTCAATCTTTTAAAGGGTGATCTTCAGCTTGGAGATGGTACAAATCTGACCATAATAACAGACATGAAAAAGGTAAGCACTTGTAGTTGATTGTTATTTTCCTACTGCTATTTCACTTAAAATTAACTATCATTGTTCATTTTGCAGGGGCTTGAGAATGATATAGCAGATCTACTTCCAAATTCTGAGCATAGGATGTGTGCAAGGCACATCCTAGCTAACTGGTCTAAGAAATGGAGGGGCATAGAGAGAAGGAACTGCTTCTGGAGGTGTACAAGGTCTACTTATAAGTGGGAGTTGAAGAAAAATCTGGAAGAACTGAAGAAATTGGGGAATAAAATAGTTGATGAACTGTTGTACTACAACATTGAAAGATGGAGTAAGGTGTATTTCAACACATTCTGCAAGTGTGATAGTGTTGACAATAATATGGCAGAATGTTTCAATGCTTGGATTTTGGCAGCAACACAGAAGACTATAGTTACAATGCTTGAAGAAAGCCAGCTTGGATAGTTTGGAAACACTTGGATTACTGATTTTTCACCAATGGCCATGAAAGTCTTGGAAGAGAACACATAAAGGTCAATGAAATGTAACATTTTCTGGAATGGTAAGTTTGGATTTGAAGTGAAGCAAGGATCAGGTGCAAGTGAGGTGAAGCATATGGTGGACATCAACATGCAACAATGCACCTGCATAGCTTGGATGTTAAAAGGCATACCATGTGCTCATGCAGTTGCTGCCCTGCATTATAAAAATCTGGAGCCTTTGAACTATATTTCTCGCTGGTACAGTAATGCCACTTACATGAAAACATACAGTTACTTTCTTCAGCCTGTCTTGGGTATGAATATGTGCCCAGAGTCACAAAACCCAACTGTTATACCATCACATGGCATGAAGATGCCAGGAACGCCAAAGAAGGTTAGAAGAAAAGAGCCAAGTGAAAATAGGACAGGAAAATTGTCCAAAAGTGGAGTAATATGACATGTAGCAATTGTCATAACAAGGGTCACAACAAGATGTGCTGTCATAAAGCTACTGGAAGTAATACTGCTGCTACTTCAACAAGTTCTGTGCATGCAAATATTGGTAGTTCAAAGCCACCAAAGCAAAGTACTGGAAAAGGAAGGGGAAGGCCAAAAGGTTCTAAAGAAAAGGTGAAGTTATTCCCTTTAATGTCTGCTTTCTCTTTTTTAAACAATTACCAGATTCTTACTTTTGATTGGTTGATGTAGGATGTTGGTACTAACACTGATGTAAGAACACAATATAAGAAGCCAAAGATGGTTGGGATGAGAGTTTTACGCACTCAAAGTGGCTTCAAAATTCAAAATGTAAGTCTAACACAACCTCTCATATTTAGCTGAATTCATTGTCTGATTTTCTGTTGGGTTTTGGCTGCCTTTAATGTCATTTACAAACTTTACGAATGTGAGGTCTTCGGCAGAAGTAACTGGAGATTTAGGCCATCAACCAACACGAGGTGTTAAATGGAAAGTTAAAGAAGCTATGACATCAAGGCAGCTTCAACAATTGAGAGGCAAGAAACTCATTCAAACAAGGTCTAGGGCTGCTAAATTGAGCCAGGAAAGCACCACTGCAAATCAACCCAATTGATAAAGATATTGTTTTGTTGATGATTGTGTTGCAATAGACTGCATTATGCTAAAATTTTAAGCATCTATAGACTGCAATTCTATATTTTGATAAGGAATTTTAGGTAGCTATAAACTGCATTTCGCATTTTGTTACATTTGGTGTCTGTTTTGCTGCTTCTACAATGACAAAAAATATCTGTTTTGTTAACTCATTTTGTGACTTTTATGCAACAAATGCATATATGATGTTTTGGTGATCTATGTGTTGTACATGTCAGAAATGTTATGGGATCAGAAGGTTGATAGAATGCGTGTTGGCCATGAAATAAAATACTTTGGTTGGTGACAAACTAGAAATACCTTAGTGGATTTGAGTGCCCACCTTGACATGATATATTCCTACAATCCATATACTGAAAGTGAAGGATGACAAGGAAACTTAGTACTGCTGTGTGTCTATTGTTGATTGCCAAGTTCTGAAGCTTATGCAGTTTACTTCACAATGTAAAAACAACACTTCTTTAGAAACAACAATTGATAAGCAGCAACTACATACATATTGAGATGAGAAAACTATAAAATATTGAGATGACAAAACTACAAAAGGCTTACATTCAAATGAAAGGTACATTGCAAACATACAAAATAAAACCTACAAGCAACAACTACATATATATTGAGATGACAAAACTAGATTCACAATGGCAACCTCATTGCATCTTCTTTCAATGATATTCCTGGATACCTACAAGCAACAAGTATAATACACATCCCTAATATAATGAACCAAAGTATATTTTCCCTAGCCTTTGACTTAGCCAATTTACTCTTCCACTTCTTTTCCTTCTCTTTCATCTTCTCTATATCATCTTGCAATTTCACCAACCGAGCCTCAATCTTCTTCATCTTGTCCCCTTCTATGGTGTTTTCAACCTTTAAAGTTGTCCTCGGCTTGACAAGATTTTCAAAGCCTTCTAATGCATTCTCAAGTTCACCCATTCTGTCAAGCAATTTTGAAATAACAAATTTGGACCTAGGATCAATTTTGGAATCCTTCCAAACCCAAAAATCACAAGATCGTGGACCCTAAGATGAATAACAAAAGAAAATTAATCAATGATAAATTTTCACAACTCAATTAGTGAAAGAATTTTTACTATCATTTACCCCATAGTATGGACAAACCCAATATCTTCTTCCTGGGTTCCGAGGGGTCCAAGCTATTAATAAAGGCAACACATAGCCATGGTTGCATCGAATTTCTCCACTTGACTCATTTTCTTCCTCTTCCGTGCAAAGCCTTGTCAAATTCAAGCCTTTTGAAGGCATTGCAACAACTACAACACAAACAGACAATATCAAAGTCAGATAATTTGCATTTGCTTTCAAAGATCAGATAATTGGATTTTAGGAAAAAGACATAACAATAATAAAAGAAAGAAATTATGGTTCTTAAGAAGGAGAAAGATTAACCTTTGCCTTCAAAGATTAAAACTTCAAAGGGCAATTTGATGGAATTTCGGCAGAAATTAGAAGAAGAAAGAAATTCGGGTTCTTCAATTGGGTTTGGTAAAATATTTGGGAAGAGGGGATTTTACCGTTGATTGGGGATTATATTCATGTTAAAATTTATTTTTTTCTTTTTTTTTGGGTGTTTTCAACGATTAAAAGAGAGTACGGATGCGCTCAATTCGATTGTGTAAGATGCGCGACTGGCCAGACCTTAAGAGAAAGTAAATAAATACAATTCTTTAAGTATGTAAATGATTTCCCCGGACAAATTAAATGGGTCTTTATGCATTTTTTCTAAGAAGGAATAGTATTTTAAACCTCGGTGTCATCAACTACTTTGCATGTAATTGAAGGAAGATTTATCGTTGTGATTTGTGATACCAAATTACTCCTACTTTATTCAAGTAGTACTACTTTCACAGTCGGGGCATCCCTCGGGAATGCACGCCTTGCGTGAGTCTTTGATTGGACCGGCACATGTACCCTCTGTTTAGGCAACGTGTCCAAGTTTTAACTTGCCTATAATCTTTGACAAAATTGGTTCATTGGAGGGCATTGATAGTAGTAGTAATTTACAGGTATTGTAGTAGATGTTCAATTTCATCTTGTCAATCATATTTTTTGAGGTATATCTTAATTTACATAAATCTTTAAATAATATTTAAATAATTTGAAAAGAAAATAAATTACTTTAACTTACACTCCTTACTTATTTTTCTTGTGATTTTGTCATTTACTATCATTTTATGCATACATTTAAGGGAAAAAGTGAATCTATCTATATAGAATAGGAGAAGCAAAGTCATATTATTGTGCCAAGTGTCAATACATAAATTAAACATGTGTCCAATTTTTGGACACACTTCCAACTAATTTGAAAGTTAAAAAATAAATTAATATTATTTCAAATAAAAATTTAAATATGATAATGCAGTTGAACTTACATGCTAATGTGTTCTACGGTTTTAAATTTGTTAAAAACAGTTCAAATTTTTTAAAACTTCTTTAATTGGTTTACAGAAGTATGTAGACATTGGGAGTCTTTAAAACTCCCACGTTTCATACGTTTTTTAAATCTTTAACTTTAAAAAATGAATTTGATTTAAATTATTATATAAAAATTACAAATTTCACATTTACAAAGTATGTTTTTTACTCTTTAACTTTGAACCATGAAAACATAATTTTTTTTTAAAGAGTTTTATTTAATTTAAAATTTGAGATTTTTTTTAAATCAATTGATTTTATGCATTTTAAAAAATTAACTGATTCAAAATTATTTGGAAATAAAAGCTCCTTCGAAATTTTTGGACCATGAACGCCGTAACTTTTTTTTTTTTAGAAAAGAGCTTTAATTTAATTCAAAAATTCATATTTCTTTAATTTTAAAAAGTTATGTTCTTTACTCTTTAACTTTAAAAAATGATTTAGTTTATTATTTAAAAATTAAAAAATTTCACATTTAAAACCCCTCATCCTCTACAAAACCTAAACTAAAAATAGCGTACAACCCCTCAAACATATGCACGAAAACACGATTTTTCCAACCAAATTGCACGATTGAATCACACGAAACCATATGGAACTGCTTCAAACGGACATTTCTCCAACCGATTCAAATCTTCATGTTGCTATCAAAAATTCAAGAAACATACGGCTTGCAAAATATGGCTACTCAAAGTGATTTATTTAATGATATAATAATATCGCAAATGCAATGAAAGTTGAAAGTTCGGATTGTTCGTCCGTGGAAAATACCAGATCGTTACAATTGAGATGCTACTTTCTCGATTGAATCAGTTCTACAAGATGAAAAGGCATTAAAAACTATTATTTTCTCATAATTCGTTTTGGTAACTCTATTTTTTGATTAACATGGGTGTGTATTTACAAATCTTAATTTTTTGATATGCTCTTCATATATTTTTTAATTTCGATGTGCATATTCATGGGATAACCAGTTGCAAAAAGCTGTATTTAAGTTGCAGATTTCCGTCAAAAAGCATGTTTTAAGTCTTTTCTGATTTTACTTATTTTTTTATATTTGTTAGGATCCCGACTTCAATACTATTGAAGGCGTAGATGAAGCGATGGAATGCGAGGTAAATACATCGCTTACTTTTAATTTGTCCTTATGATGACACTTATTTTACTTATACATGGATAGCTATAGTTGATAATAAGATGCATTTGGGTAATGGCTAATTGTGGTAAGGCTAGCTTATTGGGTATGATTTTGGTACTACATTTGTAACTAGATACTAAAATCTTGGAGCATTCATGTTCTTATCCTTGGTTGGAGTCTCCAGAATGAATTAAGTTAGATCTCCAAAAGTTACTGGATTCCCGAGAACCCATATACCATACTCTAGATCCGCCTCTGCATATAATATGAAAATATAACATGATTTAAAATGAATAAGAATAATTTATAACTAAATGAATCTAAAAAAATCTTTATTTACTAATCTTTTAAATTCATTTGTTATTTATCCATAATCATCATTTCAATCTTCAGTCCCTTAGCTTCTTACGTGTAACTCGTGATGAAAATTATAAAGTGGTTCATTTCTAAATACATGTTTATTTAGAAATAATCTCATATGAGATATTAATTCATCTCGAATTATAATTATGATAAAAGAAAGAATAATATGATAAAAAAGAACTAAAGTCACACTAATGGATTGCGTTATTTCAAAACTTAAGAAACTGCCGATTCAAGCGTTATTTCTGGGTGTTTAATCACTAACTTGGTTAACAATTACTTTTAGTTCAAAATATCATAAAATTAATTTGTACTAACATCAATCATAATTTATAGAATAAAACATTTGAGTTTTGTTCATCACATCTAGCGTTTTTCTTCCTAAAATGAAGTTATGTGCGAGAATTTCAAATTTTAAAATTATATAATCGAACCCACAGAGGAATGTGTTATTATATTAGATGACGACATATGATCTCGAGCGTCTATGCAATATATTATTACCAAGAATATGGAAGAAAATGTTATGCATAAATATTCCAAGCGTACTTTTAAAGGCAAAAATAACAAGCCAAGGACACTTTTAATTGATACAACAATGGAGAGGACTTTGGTCTTTCACATGATTAATGCTACATATACATCTATTTTTATTATATCTCTCGCTGTTCATCTCTTTTGAATTAAATACCGCACGGGTACGTATACTAGTTTATGAAAATAACCAATTTACGAGTTTAGCCTCTCACTCGGTCACCACCTCCTACGTCGCCGTTTATTTTGCATATGGACCTTTTCCAACCGTCTCTCTCACACACACACATGCAAAAACTGCCATACAATGCAAGCAAAGGTTTCTCATTTCCCCATTTCACATTCTCACTTCTCTCTCTTTCACACACTCACACAGAGTAATACACACTGACATTACAGCAACATGAACTGCACTACATAAAATTTTCTGTACATGTTTATACACCATTTAAGTTTGAAATTTACTGAAGAATTTGGAGTTTTTTTCTCCTTCTAGTCTGAAAATGGCAGGGAACGAATGGATAAACAGTTACCTAGAGGCGATCCTGGACGTAGGTCCGCCGATCAACGATCCAAAATCATCGTCGCTGTTGTTAAGGGAAAGAGGTCGGTTCAGTCCAGCTCGTTACTTCGTCGAGGAAGTCATCACTGGTTTCGATGAAACCGATCTTCACCGCTCTTGGGTTCGCGTAAGTCTTCCTTTACCGGCCATTTTAATGGCCCTATTCAGTAAATTTATACAAGTGAATTCATATTTGTGCACAAGATATGGAAATTGAAGTAGATAGAGAATTACATTTTTTTGGGGGCCTAAATGAAATGCATATGCAATGACATGAGTATTAAGTTTAGGTCTCATGAAATTATTGTGTCACAGGCTTCGTCAATTCGGGATTCACAGGAGAGGAATACGAGATTGGAAAACATGTGCTGGAGGATTTGGAATTTGACTCGCAAGAAGAAACAGGTTCTTAATTAGGAATATTATATCCCTGGTTGTACTTTTAGTTCACTTGTTTTTCTTTTCTTTGTTTGATTGGTTTGAAAAGTTTGATTTCATTAGTTCTTTGACTTCACTTAATTGCATCGTCTTTCAATTTGATGAGTTTATGACTTAAAGTCAGTGATGGTTATTCACACGCAATGTATAAGTGATACCGTTTATATTGTTTAATAGTATCAAATACCATTATGAATGTCACTCTACTAGATTTATTTTATGTATCGAACTTTGCCTGTATCTTAATGAGAAACATTTTGAAACCATAGCAATGCCAATAATGTTATTCAGGCAAATTTCTTGCCCATTGTATGACATCTTTATCCAGTTTGTAGTATATATCAAGTTAGGAAACTGTGATAAACCTTTATTGTCCAATTGATTCCCTTCATATAGAGTTTATGAATTTGTACATTCATCACCTCAAGTCACTAAAAGCTGGACAGCTGCTATAACAGTTACCAATTTGCAAATTACACTGGACAGTGTGGTAGCTCTCATTTGCTACCACTTGCTCTGGTAATTGTCAATGTCCTTGGTTACTGAGACATGCTCTCTCTACCATTGTATAATTGGTTCAATCAGAAGGTAATGTCTGCCCTTGCATGATACTTGCAGCTTGAAGGGGAAGAAGCTCAGCGTGTGGCGAAAAGGCATCGTGAACGTGAAAGGGCACGTAGAGAGGCAATTGTTGATATGTCAGACTTATCGGATGGCGAAAAGGTAGATATGGTTGGTGACCTCTCAGCTCATGGTGATAGTGTCCGAGGAAGAATGTCCAGGGTCAGCTCTGTTGATGCGATGGCAAATTGGGCTAATCAATACATGGAAAAGAAACTTTACATTGTGTTGATAAGGCATGATTCTTTTCAGTTTCTGAGATCTTATGTTTTAACGTATTCCATAATTACTACACTTCGGGTCCTAAGAGTAAGTTGAAGCGTCTTCATATTATCAGTTCTGTCTAACAGAAACCTTACTGCAGTCTTCATGGCTTAATAAGGGGAGAAAGCATGGAGCTTGGT